CAACTCAAAATTACAAATCATGGACGGCCAAACGGGGCCTAAGCTTTTTTTGAAACCAGCAAGCAGAAATTTTGTCCAAAATATTCAAGATTTTGTTCAAATGAGAACTGTCCTAATGTTCAGAAACCCCCAAAATCCTGTTCAGATTGTCCAATTTCTGAAATCTTGCTGATAAAGGCCTCAGAATTTTATAAATTTCAATCATGAATCCCCCTTGTTATGGTGTGGCTCTTCCATCAGTTTGCATGGCAGAGCTTTTCTTATTTACCACATCATAATTGTTTGGTCCAGTGCCCTGCTTTCAAAATGCTTGCTTGACTGGTAGAAACTGGTAAATCAATGGCTTTTGCAATTCATACATCCCAATGGTTTTTGTCCTTCTGTGCTGTGCACATCCATGATACAATTTCAATTGTACTTTTTCATTTTAAATATTCCCAGTCCTGAGGACAGCAGTTACCGTTAGCAGTAAAAGCTTTTGGAAGCCCTGGCTTTATTGTATCAGGTCTTTCTTTGAGGAAATAACTAGCTGTATAATAATTTAACACCCCTCAATAACAAAAACTTTGAAGGAATTTAAAAGCTTAACACAGAAATCAAACTTCAAAATATTTATACCCATCACATCAGATGTTGTCATGAATATAAAACCCAGCTTTCTTTCAAGTCAAAAACTGAATTGCACATATGCTCCAAGTAAAAATAATGATTGAAAATCATTGAAATTTTAAATACCCAGTTTTGGAATTAAGATTGGGGTTTGTGATGCTCACCTGTTTGTATATCAGTGAATTTTTCTTCTGTTTTTTATATAGCAGGAGTAGGATGCTACACTTTCAACACTACCTCATATCCAGTACTGGATATGGAGTAAAAAAAACTGGATATTCAGTGTTTTTTTTTAAAAAAAAAAATGGTGTGAAGAGGTGAACAAAAAAAAAAAATTAAAATACTACATATCCAGGTTTATTTTACTGCACATCCAGTGCGGGATATGAAGTTATGTTTCAAGTGTTAGTGCAAGATTTATCATTTACTATCTACAGCCTTTTTCTTGCTACATTTTCTGGGATTTTTTGTTCAGGAACTGAGGTTTATTTCTTTTCTGAAACAGATGAGTTTTCTCTCTAATGCTTCTTACTTTGACTTACTATTTTTGAAACAACTCATTTTATCAAGAGAATGAAAACAACAATCATATTGGGACTTCTGGCTGCCTTTTGCAATTTTAGGTGGATCATTCACATGGGAGTCCAATTGCACCTGTGTAAAATGAAATCTGGATTTCCAAACCAAAGAAGGCATTGTAATAATCTTTGGTTTGGAAGCAAAGGGAAGGCCAATCTGGTTAAGCTACGTTGATCTAGGGAATCCATCTCACCAGAGTTACTATATTGAATCTGGAGAATAATTCTTTGTAGGCAAGCAGCTTCAAAAGCACCCATCAAATAGGTTTGGGGGTTTTATGACCACTAACCTCACCTTCCAATGTATGATGTAAGGCATTTATTTGTTGGTTATGTTGAGGGGTAGGGCTTGGAGAATAAGAAAAATTGTGGTAAACACCTTTTTTTTATACACATATTTTAACTATTGTCAAAAACTGCCAGGATGGGCAGAAACCAGTTTTACTTTCTTCCCCAGCTTGCATATCTCATCCAGATCCACCCAAATTTTTTTAAAGCTGAGGAGAACCACTTGTTTTAAAACCAGAAGATTCACTTGATAAAACTTGTAAACTCTTTGGATAATGGGCCACTGAGGATGCACTAACTGGATGTTATCAATTTACCATGGGATTTGTTGGTCCAATGGTTGGAATTGGTGTTTCCATTGTGGTGAAATTCACTGTTTGAAACTCACTGCTCACTTCACACATTGTGACACATATAGTGAATTCTGAACATATTTAAACAGGCTAGTTGGAAAATTACAGGAAAAGATTTGAATAGAATTACAGTGGAACTTGATGGCACTTGAAGGTGTCACATAGATCTTAAACTGATGAGAACCAATGGATTTTTCAATTTCTATGATCTAGACTACACATTCTATAGACTAGGTACAAGCAGTGAATAAAACAGATTTTGAAAAGTTATACTGTCAACTGATTGTTCTTATGAGACTAGAATGAGCACATCCAACTAATAAGCAATTTCTCATTGAAATAGATGAGTGAAAGAGATGAATTCAAACTTGCTACTAAAGAAGAGAGAATAATTCACATTGAAAGAATTCAGTGGAATAGGTAAGGATGGCAAAATTCCAACAAATTACCTTTCACATTAAGTGCACTTTTCCACCCTGCAAGCTAGTAGACCATAGATTTATGGGGCTTTTCCCCATCCTGCCTCTTGAGTTGGTGGAGCTTTTTCCTCCTTTTCTCATCCTTCTTTGCTCACTAAGGGCTAAGTTTCTGATCCAGGCATCTTGGTACAGCATCCGAGCCCAACATATCTGGCTCTGACATTGATCCTATGCCTCACAGCTCTGTGAGCTCAATAAAAAAACCTTCCAAATGGCCTGAGAGAGGCCAAAACACTTTTTATTTTTGTCAAAAAAAAGGCTAGATTAACACCAAAAAAATCACAATTTTCTGCCATGAAAGGTTGTTTTTGACACATACAAAGATCCAATTGGGTACCAGGTATCTCCTGGATGCATCCATAACCTGACCCAACCTGGTACCCATTGGGGTAGCACCCAATCTTCTTGGTCCAGATCAGAACCTTACTAGAGGCCTTCATTTCATCAGCTCTCACAACTTATCTCTTTTTAGCTTCTTTTCTCTGTTTCCTCATTCCCATCTAGTTCCCTTAAACTCAATCAATTTGCTGCCTGGCCAGTGAGTCATCTCTCTTGAAATTTCCCCTGAAATTGTGTTGTATCTCTGAGTGGTGGTTCTTTCAAACAGACAAGCAAGAATCAAAAATTATTGCAATCAAAAGAAAAAAAAGGAAACTGAACCTCAGAAATCAGTTGTCTGCAAGAGTAGGACAGAAACCAAAATCCAAGATGGGAACTGAAAGATTTACTTGAGGAGATAAGCTTCCAAGTAGTAAGCACAATCCAAGCATCTTTTCATCTTCTTTTATAAAGCAATTTAACAAAGAACAGAAGCAAAACAAAACAAAAAGGAGAAAACCAATGCTCAGACAGCAAAGTAGAAATATATCAATAGCTCAAACAGAAATCTTAACAGAGGGCAACAAAATACTCCAGGAAACTGACAACCTCTTCTGGACTCTCAAAGTGATATACCAATTATAAACATACATATAAATGGGAAGGGATGTTTTGGTTTCTGTAGTTAATTAAAAATCTGTGGTCATCCTAGCTGTGAATCCAAGATGAGATTGATCTTGATCAAGCAATGACTCAATGTGTTTTATATTGGTTATGCTTGTTACTTTTTTTGTTTGTTTCTTGGTTGAAGGAAAATTGGAAAACGAAGAAAAAGGAAGAAGGAAAGAAAGAAAGAGAAAAACAGGGTAACAAGAAAGTAGGTAGTAGGATGTGATTGAGAATGATCCTGTATTTCTGTTGATTATCATCATCACCATCATCATTTTGGTTTTTTTCTAAAATTTATGCTGGTAATTCAAATTTCTGACCCCTCATTACTCTTGTGAAGTAAACTGGATCGGGGGAGAAATTTTCAAAGAAGGGTAATAGAAGTTAAGGGAAGGGAATGAAAAAAAGAAATTGAGAATCGGTCAGTGATATTTGACGAGAGACAAAAAGTTTGAAGCAGTCAAAAGGTACGTACTGTAGAAAAAGTCTGCATAAAGTCCAGTTTGAACGATTCCGGCAAAAATCGCAATCGGATCAAGGGTGTTTTCGGTTGTGTACCTGAGGTGCAAAGTCAACAAAGAGAGCTCAATTAGCTGGTGCGATCAACAGAGATAGGTCGATCAAACAAGAGAAAAACTAACCTGAGGATCCAGTTGGGGATATACATTGCTCGGTAGAGGCCAAGGGCAAATAGGTAATGTGTAGTGATCGTCTCGGCTTCACCAGTCCTGTGGAGCATGAACAATTGGGGGAAAACGGCGACTGCTTCCAAGTAGATACTGAATGCCCAAAGTACTTCGACTACCGTACTATTTTTTCGGGGATGATTTCCAACGAGTATATATCGAAACGTTCATCAGTTCTAGATGGTCTGAGTTGATTTAAATTGAGGAAAAAGAAGGGTGAAGGTAATCGACTGACAATTTATAGTTGAATACTAATGCTAATAATGCGCATGGTCCTAGTAGGTATTCTACTTTGAATGTGTCGATTGCCGGGTCTTGAGTTGGTTTATACTTGAAATGCATCAGGTAAACTATGTAAGCTGAGGATGCAATGAAGAACAGTTTCATCGCCGTATTGTAGATCTGGATCATTCAACCAGGCAGGTAAACACATGACCCCAAAAATTGAATAAATCGGAGAAAAAAAAAATCAGTTTGGTTGAGATGAAATGGGTTCGATAATAATCAAAGGCTTACAGAGATGAAAGGACCGGTGACAAGGTCAACATATCTCGTCAAGAATACCACCACGTAGAGTACTTGAGTCTTGAAGCTGATTCCTCTGGCTGATCTAGATTTGATGATCTTTTGAATGAGGATGAAGATCGAGGCCAGATGGGATAGATCACCGATCAATCGAAAGATATTCATGTTTTGTTAACTTTCTATTTTCTGATTGATGGTGTTGTCGATGTTGTTGTTGTTGTTTTGTGGTGGTGGTGGTGGTCAAGGTGGGCCTCTGGGGTGTTGTTGACCGGTGGTGGTGAGACTGATTGGCTTATTAAGTCTGACACGTTTTGTTTTAGTCTATGTGAGGAGGGGGTTGGTTAGTTGTCGCTGTTAGGCTAAGCTTGTGTAAACACGGTCGTCGGACTTGGCTCAGCTGGGCTGGGAATGGAAGGAAGCCCCCTGGAGTCTGCCCAATGTGGATACTCCAAAGTACTGTTTACTGCCGTCAAACAGTCCAGCTTGACCCTGTTTCAGCTTCAGCCTTCAGATCAGTCCCCCCAGTCAGCCTTACAGCAGCCATGAAGTCTGTTTCCTCTGAAAATCAACCTGGTCTCACGTTTCATAACTGCGACTGTACTGCTGTATATACGTTTCATTTCGGTCGGGCTGGTGAAGGGCTGTTGTCTGGTGATCGAGCGGCTGAGACGACGTGTATGGAGGGTGTTTCAAGACAGCAACAATCTATGGCAACTCGTCTCATGAGCTCGTTGAGCAGTTATGAAGAAGAAGGGTGTTGGAGACTTTCACCATCCTCTGTGTCATTATCCAGGTCTCACGGCAACGATCTCAACAACACCAATGATCCATGGCATTGACATGGAAAGCCGATTTCATAATTCTCTTTATCCGTTCGTCACCACTTCCCACCGTCGAGATTGCCATCGGTGGTACCGAGAACCATCATCGTGAATAGCAACGATTGCCTCAGCAGAAGGGCTGTTTGCCCACTGGAGAGACCATACACAAACAGATTCCAGCTTTCAAAGCTCATGAGCAGGTCCTAACATGTTTATGTTTCAACACCATATGTCATCGCAAATCCCAGTATCTTTCAAGGCAAAATTCTTTTACCAACCTGTCAAAAGAAATCCCATTTGGTGAAGAAACTTGGTTGGTCAATCAATATGGCACAGTGGAGCACGTAAGGGCAAACAAAGTATCTGGGCTAGTGATGGTCAGGATGAAGAAGCGAGCAGGCGCATTTTTCGAGAGGTGATCACGCGGTGTTGGTCAAGTTGATCACACAAAGAAGGCCCATCAGGGGGGTTTGCCAAGGATTGAGACGCGGATGTGAAAGCCCACTCGATGTATAAGAGGGATTACCTTTCTTTCCAATTCATCCATTGTTTTCAAGAGTGAGCACCGGAAGAGCTGTCATAGAGACCGCGACGCCGTCTCCTCCAAACTTCAAAGGAGAGCCGTTGCTCTCTCGGTGAGAGGCGCTGATGGCCGATTGACCGGACCAACGCTCCCATAAGTCGAAGGGTCACCCTCTCCAGTGTGGGTTGGTGAAGGATTCTCTGCAGTCAGTCACAACTCCATTGATGAAACAATTTACCAAGGTTCTCTGAAAAAATGGTCCTGTCACGTTGTATTTACTGCCTCCTTAAGGTTGATTTGGTCCGGTTGGCTTTGAGTTTGGGCGTTTTATTGATCGAGATAAGAGGGGTCTTCAAATATCAATCAAATTTATACTCTTGGGGCTTTGTGACGAAATTTCTTGTCAACGAAATTGTTCAAGTGGTGCCATCCGTTGAGAGTGAACATGTCATTCAAGGGTAATGTCCATCGTTAAATATCTTCCTAATCCTTAAAAAGCTCAGTTCACCAATTGATGATTTACCTTTTGACCCAATTTTTCCAAAAAGACCTTCATAGTAAAACCGTAAGGCTCATGGAAGAATTGATTTCAGAAAAGCATGGGAAGTTTCCAGTGCAGCAATCATCCTAATTATTTCTCAAACTTGGAATAACCTCAGCTTGGCACGCCAATTAATATTCCTTCTTTTTTTGTGACTTGTGTATCCTAACTTGATTAGAAACCAGGTTCCAACAACTATAAGCTTGGGGAGTAAGAAGTAAAATATAACACTAGGGATGATCTGTAATAAGTTTAGAATTCTTCTAGGCTTTTCATAAGAATCCAAAATTTTGTGTTGGAATTGAAATAATTGATTGATCCCATCAACCTTTGAATTACCTAGTCATGCCAAGAAATCATCCATCTTTCATTTATTTCACCCCGCCAGTTGCTAAAAGCAAACGGCTGTTGCCTAACAACTGCCAAAAACTGTGCAACCACCCCTCAAACGTAAGTTGACATCAAGAACATCAATGATCCAAGACGTTGATCAGTGCTTGTCATGGGACCAGCTTGTTTTTGTATGGATCCCCTCCTACGCTTCACTCAGAAGGAGCAATGAGCTTAGGAGGAAGCCTTTTCCCATCTGCTCTAAGTACCCAGACATTGCAAAATGTGCACCAGAACAAATTCTAAATTGCCCAAGATGTGCTTGAGCATAGGCACTTCATTATTATTTTGGCTGCATGAGAAGCCTACTTTCAGTCTGAAAACCAAGTATCCAATATTGTACCACTGGGAGTAGGAGAGAAGTTATACAATCAGGCAGAGAATGATAGCTATAAGATAGGGAAAAAAATGCTTGACTAGATATAGATAGGTAACAAGAGATTGGTGAAGAAAGTAGAGGAGAAAAGAAATCCAATAAAGGAAGAGCTGAGCCTGAGATTTGTGAAAAAGAGGAAAGTATTGAAGTGGAAATGATAAATACATTTATGAATATGACTTGTATTAGTCTGTAAGAGTTTCCTGATAAATAGCATGAAACCAGTGAAGAAAAGAAGAAGAAAAAGAATGAATATTTGTACAATCGAAGAAGATCTGAGCCTGAGCCCAGTGAAAATAAGGGGAGAGTCTCAATCTGGAAATGATAGACATATACATATGCAGACATTGGATGCTTGTTTTTTTTGAGGGTTTGAGTGCCTTCATTCAAGGATACGTTTCATGGAAAAGCTTTTCCATTAACGCAGTTGTTTTCTTATCCGGGACCAAGCTTGTGCCGAACTTTTGCTTGTTTCTGATCAACTTCTCCAAATTTTTTACGAGTTGTGTTTTATCATTCGACCATTTTTCTCCCTGTGTTATGACTTTTCGAAGCTGTTTTAATGCGCCCATGATTGGGAGGATGTTTTGCTTGTCGGAAGCGTCCTTCAAAGCAGCGGAATAGGCCGTCTCCAACTGCTGGATTGGCCGAAGCTTCCGCTGAGCAACTGTCTCGTTACTGATTTCGTGCATCAAACTGAGGCTTTCTATATGTTTGATGGGATCGATGTCACCATGGGCCAGCAGCTTAATCAGTCGAAGCTCTCCATCCGAAAACTCGAAGCCTCTATTTTCAAGAATCGTCAACCGGTTGACTACGATTCTCGACTCTTGCTCGAAATGGCGGGCGACTTTCTTGAGATCTTCCGCTGCGAACTTTCTCCTTAAGGCTCTCAACCTTAGTGAAGCTGTTTGTTTTTTCCATTCACGTCGTTTGAAGATTGAGCGGAAGAAATTGATGAACTTGAACCACCAGCGTTCCGATTTCACCTCCTGCTCGGCTGCCCTTAAGGCTTCCAAATATAATGGGAGGTTCGAGTCTTCCGAGTGACGCATGTAGTCGAGAGCCACTGTTCGATATCCAAAATTCTTGATGTTTTGTTTCTCCCAACTTGCAATCCGATCCTTGTGATCAATCCGTTGCTTATCCCAGGCTTCAGGTCGTTCCCACAACGGATCGGACTTTGGGTGACTCTCCGGAAGCTTTCCATCCTTTAGAATTTCGCCGTTTTTCGGATCTGCTAAGTCACGAAGACTTTCGGCTGATTGAGCATGGTTGAGACGACTTGAGTCTTCAGCCACTTGTGCAACAGTAGAGCCAACGCCGGGGTATGAAAAAACCGTTGTTGTCGTCAAAAAAGTGAAGCAGGCATAATTGCAAAGTATCATCAGAAGTTTGCTCTTGATGTCCTGCCGCATGGTGCTCTTGTGGGATCTGCCCCCAGCGGACAAAGCTCCTATAAGCAGGATCATGTTATGTCTGAGTTTTCGCTCTAGGTGTGATTTTAACTGTCGTTGCAGGCTGACTCGTTTGATAGCTTTTGATCAGGAGGATATTGTGTGTTGAAGAAGTTCCGACGTACAGGCTAAGTGATTCGAGTTGACGCTGTTAGGCACGCTAAGAGGATAGTTATTTATACTGCTTTTGGCTTTCATTCATAGCAAGTGCTAGAAAAGACGACGAACCATGTTCCGTCGAGTCAGACAAAGGAACCATTACGCTCTTCAAAATTCTCTAGTGATGCTTCGAATATTGTATACGCGAGTGTACAAGCCTGTGGCGATAAATCTCTCTCGCTGCGACAGATTTCAAATATTACTCACGGCGACGGGCCCGTTTAGACCGTAACTCTGTGGACCGCAATAGTAAGGTTTGCTTCGACTATTGTCCCAACGCGTGGCAAGCATTTCTTTCAATTTGAAGTTGAGCCCGTGATGAAAAACTTCGTCTGGCAAGTCTAGTCCCATTTGAAAGGCGGTCCGGGAAGATTGATACATATGTCGACAGGAGCTACGCTCGCTTCAAAGCTTGTGGAGTGGAGTGGACGCAGTGGATCCCATCTCTGCAAAGCTTGGTGGCGAAAGGGAATGAAAACCCGGCGCTAGGAGAGCGAAAATACTCTTGATTTTCGCATAATGTCAAACGTCTTGGATGTGATTGTGCTCTGTCCAAGGTTATAAACCTTTAGCAGCAGGGGAAGGGCCGTGGCTTACCCCTCCGAACCATAAGAGACGATCACTCCCTAATTCTTAATCAGTCAAGGGAGGTCCAGCTTATGGAAAGTTAAGAAAACACACAGAATAAGTTATAGCAGAAACTTCGACGGAATACTACACTCTATGGATGAGCATATTGGGCATGATTTGTGGAACAAAGCTCGGCCTAGTGCCCATTGTGGGTTAGCTAGAGTACAAATATGAGAGCTATTGTAGGAGTCTTGGCTTGAGGATTCGAGTGTCTATCCAATTCTACGTTACATATACATTGTTGATTTATACATCTAGTCATCTCACTTTAGCCGTGGGTCCATTTCCAGCCGAACAGAGAAATAAGGCCCAGATTGATGAACCCGAATGGGATATTTCCGAAGCCGACCAAGACGGCCGCCAACAGAAACAGCCCACAGGTTTTATCCAAGAGCATACCCACCAGCTTTTTCTCTTTCCAGAGCGTATCGATCTCGATGTGCGGTCGGGTATTCAAGAAGTGAGGATTAGATTGACTTTGAGTGTAACGCGGTAGATCGATCACGGCAAATACCGGCTTATGATCGCTGCCATCATACTCTGGAAGTGATTGATATGCGAGCACTTTGGCTCCACCCGGCTGATCAACAGAAGATGACTGGCTGTCGTCAAGCCATGAGGCTAAGAATATCCTATCGGTCCATCCGGGCAAACGATGATCAAAGCTGACAAATTGATCTCCGGAGTTCAATTTGTATTTATAGGTAGGCTTGAAATTGATGGGAGCCTCCCTTAAGCCGACTAGAACCTTCCCGGCCGCGTGCTGGTGAGAAAGCGTATCGTGTTCAGGAAACAAACTAGAGTGGCGGCCTTCTTGAATGGTTTTGGTCAAGCTTTCTTTGGTGATCGGCTGCAAACTAGATGTCGCTGACGGGGTGAGCGAAATCCGGTAATTGAGATCGCCCATGAAGAATAGATGACTGGTATCATAGATAGTATGGTGGCCATGGGAGGTTTCGAAGAGCAGCCGGTTAATGATCGACTGGTAATCGCGATTTCGAGCTATGATTCCCGAGTCGTGAGCGGCGAGGTGGGCGTTAACAAACGTCAGGACTTCTTCGGCTGCCTGTGCCTTTCCATCAGGGACATCAGAACGCCGGATGGTCACTCTGACCCCAACAGCGCCCTTGTTGTTCATCAGGTTCAAGAATCCACAGCTGGCCTCCGAGGTCCTGACGCTCTGGATATCCTTGAAGACCGTGTCATTTCTGGCGTACACGAGTAGTCCAAGTCCTCCGTGGCTGGGATCGGCAAGAAGATTATAGGTCAGTGCTTCGAAGTCCGTCTTCTCATTCTTCCGTTGATCTCCCTTGATAGTCCTCAGTCCAGATGAGAATGCCCGGATCATTGCATGGCGTCGATCGAGGATGGCCCCCCCAGTTAGTGAAGGAAATGTAAGGTGCAAACCAGCAAGCTCTCTACAGTAGAACAGCACGTTCAGATTTTTCAGTTGTCAAGTCAAGTGCTAGTCTACACACGAGATAAATTCACAGCAGGGAATAACACTCAACTGGAACCCAATCGCATAGAAGTCAGGTAGCTGGGACTCATCTTCAACCTGCTCGTCAAACACCAATCTCGAGAGCTTCTGCTCCGCTCTCCTATCATGAGTGTCAACGAAAAAGTTGATCAGGAAAATTCGACTCGATCTTCGTTCTAGGTAATGTGTCTCGAAGAGATAATCACCCTCTGTTGAGATTGTAGGTCATACACCTAATCCTTAAAGGCCGGTCATCAAGAGGATTCGCCATCGAGTTCGACAATGGATGGTAGCTCGTCAGGTTGAGGGAAGCAATTGGGTCATCTGCAGTCGACCCAGCTGCCCCAAGAGGCTAGCTTAGCACAATCCCCTCGTTCCAGAGGGACGGGGGGACCCCGGCGTGCCGGGGGCACCTCGCGAAGCGAGCCTCTTTCAGAGGCTCGCTTCGCGAGGTGCCCTTCGGAGGCTCGCTTCGCGAGGGGCGCTTGCGCCCGCCACCTGGTGGCCCGACGAATTGAGGGGCTTTGGTTAAGCTAGCCAAAGAGGGCGATTGGGGGCCGTTGCTTCAAAGTGGTAAACCCCGATGTTCCCCGAGATATATTCGGGGATTAGTATTGAATTGGGGAGTAAGCATCAACACAGAATGAAACCAAGTTATTTTTTTTTTTTCAATAAATGTATTGTCACTATTCCATTGGACCATGTACATATTTTGATGATTATGATCTAATCTATTCTATGGATTTTTCTTATCATTACAACAGATTTTCAACATTGGAAAGGGGCCAAAATCTGTGCCATCACCAAGCTCCAACTGAAGAAACACCAGTAAAAAAACACATCATCACAAGATAACAGGTGAGCTCGAGCCACATTCAGGCTCCAGCTATTTATATGTACCCATCATCTACCCAATTGTGAATGTGAACTACATGAGGCCCCCCTGCAGAGAATTGTAGTTTGTTGACAGCACCACAGCCGCAGGAACAGAGGGTGAAAGTCAACTGCAGTCTTGATACCAACCTCCCAGAACATGACAAGGAGGAGGGGAAATAAAACTTGTTGGTCAGCCAGCATCTTTCTTGGGCCATTTGTGATGCTGTTGAGCTTCCTTATCTACCCTTCCTTCCGCTACTTAATTCAGTCTGTTTTTTTTTGGGAAGGAAGGAAGGAAGGAAGGGTTGATATGGGACAAGCAACAGCCAAGTTGATACTATAAATGTGGTATGAACGTCCTCTCAGAGCAGTGTCAGAGAGGTCCTTCAAGTTCCTAACTTAACAAAGTCCCCCCTGGTGGGAGGCTCGCTGGTGTGAAGCACTGGCTGGTGGCGAAGCCACCCCTCCCGCAGGGAGGGACTTAGGACCAAAGTGCCCCTCCTCGACTGAGGGCATCTGAAAATCGACCCTTGACTTACACAGTCTGTAGCTCACTCATTGTTTGAGCTACATATGTCTTTCTGTAGAGGGAAAGATGCGCTTGCACCTTATGTTGTCTTCCCTCAACTTGGTTTTGCAAAAATTGTTGTCTTCAAAAACATCGAACTCAAAACAGCGAAAAGGAGATCTTGATGCTACATGGAAAACCTGAGCCTCGCAGGCTAAGATAGTCAAAACCAAGTTGGATTCGAAATTTGTTCAAAAATCAATGGTTCAATAGAATTTGTAGCTGATGAGCTCCAAAAATTGATGGAGTCAAGTAGATCCGACCTTCCAGTAGCTGGGCCCGGTTGGGTTGAAACTACAGTCTGTAAAAAATGATTGCTAGATTTTTCAATTTTTTGGTGGATGGCCTTGGTTGAGTACCCCCACTTTAGGCATAAGTCCCTCCCTGCGGTCGGGCGGGGTTCAGTGCTTCACCACTGCACGCCCAACCGCAACTGGGTGGGACTTAGATAAGTTAGTTCAAGTTCAAGGGTGGGTTACACATTTTTTTGTAACTTCACCAACTTCCCACATAACTCCCCCCCAGCACCCAAACAACAGAGCAGCCTTGACTGTCTTTTTTTTTTTTTTAAAAAAAAAAAAAGTCTATATCACCCTCACCCTAATCCCTATTCCTAACCCTACCAAGTGAGGCTTGTTGTAGTGTTTGTGATGTGAGATGTGTTGTTTCAGAGATTGCAAACTGGAAGTTGGATTGCTCTTATAAGGGGGCACAGGCCAAAGTTCACAAAGTTTGCAAAGCTCAAAAATAGGAACCCTTGAAGGACCTCTCTCACACTGCCCTGAGAGGTCCTTCATAGCAGGTATATGTCCCCATCTCAGACTGAGACGGCAAGCAAGCTGTGGCAATGAACAGACAGTCTCAATCAACAAATGACAATCACATGTTCTTTGAGTCTGACATATGTCATACAATTCTTTCTTTTTTTGTAAATAACTTATAAAGAAGGAAAACACTTATAGGAATCAACCAAACCAAAACAAAACTAAAACAAGAATTAGGATTAGGATTAGGATGAGAGTTTTGACTTGGAGACAAGAGATAATATGGATAATCAAAGTGAAAAAGAAAGAAAGAGAAAGGGAAAGGGAAAGAAAGAAAAGGGAAAGAAAAAAACATGATAATAATAGTGACAATACTGTATATATAAGACAACCAAATAAAACACAAAGAAACGTATATGGTTATTACTATTTTGTGTGTGTGTGTAGTGTGAAGTGTGAGGGGTGAAGAATGAACTTGTTTTTTTGTTGTACTAGTGGAGAAGAAGATCAAGGGGAAAAATGTATGTGATGTGATGTTGATGTGATGAGTGTTTTTTTTTGGGGGGGGGGGGGGGAAAGAAGCAAGAGATTCAAGGAAGAAAAAAGAGGGAAGGGGAGAGAGAGGAAAGAGAGACACGATAAGGTTCTTTCTAGAGATTGAGTGGAATAAAACCCATTTGAAGCAAGTGAGAAAGAAAAAAAACACGATTGGGTTTCGGTGTTGGTTGATATCAGGGTGTAAGCAATATGATGATGATGATGAGGATGATGAACAATCAACGTTTCAAGAACAAAAAAAGAAGGAAGAAAGTTGTGAAAAAAAAAGAAGCTGGGAGGGGATGAAGTCAAACAAAAAATCAAAATCAAAATCAAGTGAATTGAAAAGAAAAGAAGATGACATGAGACGATATGATAAGATAGTATATATATATATATAGAATATATAGAAAATAAATAAATAAGATAGACTAGAAATCAAACTAAAAAATTCATTCAAGTACAAGAAATCTTTTTTTCAAAAAAAGAAGAATAAGCAATCAATGAGTGGTAGCTGTAGTCGTAGTAGTAGTAGTAGTAGTGAGATGAGCGCCAGAAGGAGAGCCGGAAGGAGAAGGAGTCGAAGAAGGGCCTGAGCCAGGGGATCCAGAGCGCGGGCCCGAGGAAGATGAAGGATCAGTGAGCGGAGTGAGCCGCATGATCGAGCGAAACATGGACCCGAACCCGGCATGGAATCCAGCGGCCGAAGATTTGTTGCTTAGGTTAGAAGACGAAGCGAGCGAGGCGGAGGAGTCGACGGACGAAGCGGTGGAGCGGCCGGTGGTAGTCCGTGCACGGGCGGTGATGGTGGTCATTGTCGTTGTAGCTGTGGCGGATGTCCTGTTTGAACAGGCAGACAATGACGAGGAAGACTTGGTGGTGCTCGACGAAGGCGTGAGATGAGCGGGGGTAGATGGACTGGTGGTCGTCACTGGATGGGTGACTAATGGCGAGGAAGTGGAAGGCGCAGTATTGGTAGGATGAAGATGAGGAGGAGGGGCGACAAGAGGAAGACAGTCGGCCGCGAAGTTTTCTTTCTCGGCCGCGGCTGGCGAGACCGAAGGGATCTTCCAACCCTGCTCCTCAGTCGTCTTCAAAGAAGAAGAAGAATGTTGTTGTTGTTGTACATTGGTAGAATGAGGCGGAGGAGACGAAGGCGCGGGTGGATTGGAAGGAGTAGCAGAACTTCGATGGCGCTTCATGAAGACTCTCTTGAACGTGTTTTGGTACGAGTCTGTGGCGGAAAGGTCGACGAGGGAGCCCGGATTGGGGGCGCTGACTTGCCGATTCATCCTTCCATTGCCACTCTTCTTATTCGACTGTTGGTGTTGTTGTTGTTGTTCATGTTGTTCTTGCTGATAAGAGGGATGATTGCAAGAAGAAGGTATCAGGAGAGAGGATTTCGGAGAAGGATCGGCCCCAAGTTGTTGGTGCTGCTCGAGATCTTTCTTGTTTCGAGTTCCGACTCTGGATAATCGTCGGACCATCTTCAGGCCAGGTAACCATAACGGGTTTGAGGAATGAGAGCAGATCGGTTTCGAGGCTACTGTCGTCGACGAAGGCTCGACCACCACGCTTGGCTTAGTAGTCACTGCGGGCGGCTCCTCATGATCAGGGGAAGGACATCTTCGACAGCCAGGGATGAACTGTTCTGCTGAGGCTGAGACTGGTGAGTTTTCTTGACTAGCTTCGATCTTAGATAGAACGCTGTGGGTCTGGTTTCGTGAACGAGTGCGTTGATGTGACTGGGAAGATGTTGGAGTTTGTGTTGGTGGCTGTGGTGTGGGTTGTTGTTGTTGTTGTTGTTGTTGCTGTTGTGGTGGTGGCTGCTGAAGTCGGACGGTGGGATCGTCTGGATCGGAGTGGGGTAAGGTACTCGAGGATCGACTGACGAGGGCTGGTCCACTACGGGCCCGACGTAAGCTACTATTACTATTAGTACTCCCACTCCAGGTGTTGTCGTCAGGTGAACCATTGAAGAGTTGTGGTAGTGGGGGTGGGGGGACGATCTCTTGGGGACGGATGTTGGGCTCCATGCAGCTCATTCTCTTCATCTTTCGATCCGCAAGATTATTGGTAGTATTATGAGTATTACCGTTTCGAGCGATCGCAACGGTCTGAGCGGTTCTTTTAGCGGTCGTGGTGCCGGTGGCCGATAGTGTTCGTGCCCGAGAGCCGGACTCGTTACCAGAATCCTGGAGCCTGGCACATAACAGGACGTCTGAGAAGATCTCGGTGAGCTTGAGGTCGATGGCAGCCTGAGCGACTTCTGCCGTCCTGCCTAATAGGGTATTCACGTTCCTGGATAGTCTTTGGGAGACTCTAGATTGAGTGGCCGGTGGTGCTGCGGCGACTGGTGTGGTGGGTACTATGGCGGTTTGATCAGATGGTTGGTCTTCCTCAACTGGGGATCTCGGTGGACCTTCCTCGATGGGCGATGGGTTATTATTATTATTATTTTCGATCAGGTTGATACTTGAGACGATCGAATCATCACTGATTGGCATGGCTGACATGATCTGAATCGATCTGAGTTGGTTCGATCTCCTGTTTGAGTTCTTTTAACTTGTTCATCCAACATCTCTTCTCTGGCTCACAGGTCGCACCGAATTCGAAGGTATGTTGACGATACTTGAGACTGAATGAATGAGGCATCAAACCTGTGTAGAAAAAGTGTTATTCGTGTTTCTTCTTTTTGTTATTGTGAGAAAAAAAAGATGAGTTTGTTACATACCAGAACTGTCAGAGATATCGATGAGGTCAAAGTATCTGATTGGGAACCAGTGACGTGGTTCGTAGACTGAGGCCCGTTTGACTTTGACGATGACGAGATGAGTTTGATAGAGGAAGATGCCATGGTATTTGATCTTGAAGGCTTCACTTGGATCCAAGCTGGGGCCGTGATAGAGGATATGGAGTGAGCCGACTAGTTTGATTTGACCCAAGAGACAGACGAAAGCGGCTCGATAGGACTAATGGAAAAGAGATGGTCAGCTGGCAGTTGTTCCCTTTAAAAAAAGGTGAACTTGAGTGTGACTGACTGAATGTAGTTCCATTCGACTTGCGATGAGTTCTGTCTTGAGTTCGACCTCTCTGAGTGATTTAGCTTCATCTACTCCCTCTGCGACCTGTTTCATAGCCCAGAGTGCCTGTTGTACTCTTTCGATGGCCCGAGATCTGAGGATGGATGGTGTAGTGTTGGGTTGGTTGATCTGGTTGAGTAGGTTGTTGAGAAGCATCGGATATCTCATGATTCGTTGGATGGGTTTGATGATATAATCAGAGAAGTAGAGTCTGTTGTTGTTGTTTGGGTTGTTGTTGTTGTTGTTGTTGTTTGGGTTGTTGTTGTTGTTGTTGTTGTTTGAGTTGTTGTTGGTGGTAGTGGTAGTATTTGGGGTGTTGGGAGTGGTGGGTGAGTTGGGTTGATGGTTGTGATCATTATGAGGTGGTGATGGTGATGGTGATGGTGATGTGTTGATAGTTGTTGTTGTTTGAGTTGTTGTTGTTGTTGTTGTTGTTGTTTGTAGGAGTGAGTTCCATTCTGGTGATGATTCTAGTGATCTGATGAGGTCTGCTGCTTCGGTGTGCCTTGCACAGTACTCTTCGTAGATGGTGAAGATGGGTGATTCGCTGATGAATGCTTTAGCCAATCTTTCGATGATCCGATCCAGTTCTTCTTCGTCTCTTTCGGTTGTGGTTGTGTTGGGCTTCTTCCATGACTCGATGAGTTGGTTGTTGTTGATGTTGTTGTTGGTTGTTGTTGCAGTTGTTGTTCCGATTGCGATTGAG